TTTTTTTTTTTTTTTTTTTGGGCCGATGGCCGTTCAGAGTGCTTCAAGCGATTTCTTCAGTAATCATTTGCACTTTTACCTTATTAGTATCATCACTTGAATCAAAAAGCCCCACACCATTTGCATTATGTTGGAACACCGATGGGACAAGCTGAAATATGAAAACCAGGAGTAAACCATAAACATACCTCATATATATAACTATTTTTCATTGGGGAAAATGGTACAGAATAGGTTTAAAAGAAAAAAAAAATCACCTCTTCTTCAGCCAATATATCATCAATATCATAATAATTAGCCATGATTTGTATCGGCCTTTCATTAGTATCAGCCTCCGCAATATTTTTTGAATTGAGCAACAAATTACTACTGAAATCCTATGAGAAAAAAATCCAATTTTGTGCCTGTTCTCTCGGGGTTTGGGTTGCTGATGGAAAACAATGATGGGCGAGTTTTGATCTCTGCAGAGACGACGAGAATCAGTGGATAAATTGGTGGCTAGGGCTTGCCGCCCTCTACTGAAGTTCGCCGTGATCAACGTCGAAGGTGATGATGGAGTCGTCGTTGGCGGTGGTAGTTTGCGCCTGCAGCGTTGAGTTGGCGATTGGGGAGAAGAATGAGAGAGGATTCTGGACGGAGGAGAAGAATGAGATAAGATTTCTTGATATTAGGGATTAGTTATTACAATTAATCCTTAATTGATTCAATTTCCATATTTAAATCCTAATTAATAAACTTATAAAATCTGGTATATGTGTAAATATGTTGAGGTGATTTTGTATATTTACAAATAAATATTAATTAGGTGTAAATATGTAATATAAAATATATTTGATAGTATGGGGTGTAAATTCCTCAAATAATTAACTCTATTTGGGCCAAAGGATTTTACTCGCTTGGGCTAAAACATTTACAATAAAGGGCCGAAAATGATGCCTTTGGGCTGAAACTAATAGCTAAAGAAGGGCCCAAATTAAACAACTAAAGGGGCCGAAAATAAATTATCCGAAAGGACCGAAAATCACTGAAACAAAAGGCAGTTATGAGCACAAATAAAATAAATAAATAAATAAATTAATTCGCAAATATAATAAATAATAAAAACAATCTCCTAATTATTCATAAATTAACGGGGCATTACACGAGTTGAAAAACTTACGTTTATCAGCTATGAAGCTGCTAAAATCGTTGCTCGAATTCGACCGGCTCGCAAAAAGGGTTGGAAGGAGACGAGTTGAAAAACTTACGTTTATCAGCTATGAAGCTGGTAAAATCGTTGCTCGACTTCGACCAACTCGTAAGAAGGGTTGGGGAGAAGACGAGTTAAAAAACTTACGTTTATCAGCTATGAAGCTGCTGAAATCATTGCTCAACTTCGACCAGCTCGCAAGAAGGGTTGGGAAGAAGACGAGTTGAAAAACTTACGTTTATCAGCTATGAAGCTGCTAAAATCGTTGCTCGACTTCGACCAGCTCACAAGAAGGGTTGGGGAAGAGACGAGTTGAAAAACTTACATTTATCAGCTATGAAGCTGCTAAAATCGTTGCTTGACTTCGACCAGCTCGCAAGAAGGGTTGGGGAGAAGACGAGTTGAAAAACTTACATTTATCAGCTATGAAGCTGCTAAAATCGTTACTCGACTTCGACCAGCTCGCAAGAAGGGTTGGGGAGAAGACGAGTTGAAAAACTTTCAGTTATCAGCTACGAAGCTGCTAAAATCTTTGCTCGACTTCGACCAGCTCGCAAGAAGGGTTGGGAGAAGTAATGGGAGGATAAGATAAGAAAAACGACTACAGTCAAGCACGACATATCAAAGCCAATAACAAACACAATGAACAACGACAATAAAAATCACAAAGTACAGACAAACGACGAGGCAAAAAAGATCAGCATAATATTGATAATTAATCCATTATATCTGGGCCATGCCGACCTTCACATTCCCTGAAAATAGGTCGAGCATGGCGATAAAGAAAAGAAGAGAAGAGAAGGAAAGAAGAAAAACAAGCAACTAGAAAAATGTTGGCACAACCCCAAATCAGACTAACACATCTAAGAGTCGCCGGTCGACTTCTCAACGGTGTCCCCTCCACCATCCATCTCAATAGATTCGGTCTTATTATCGGCATCCTTTTCAGCATCTCCGTCGACAAGCGGCTCAGTCCCCTGCTGCTCGACATCTGCCTCCTCGACCTCCTCCTCGTGACTAGCCCCACTTGGCCCGACTAGTGTGGTCGGACCAGCCAAGGGGGTAGGGGGAACCTCGAGTTGCACGCTCAGGCCAGCTTTGCGAATGGCCCGAGTCTTGACCACCATGGATAGTCATCTGGAAGAGACTCGTCACCCTCATAGCCCTCGGGGTCGGGGAGCGTCTCCTTGACCTCCTCGCGGTTGAGTTTCCCGACAAACTCAGACCCCGTCACCACCGCCTCCCATGCGGCGAAAGTATGCTCGAAGTATTGAAGAGTGGCGGGGCAGAGCTTCTCGAGGAAGGCAGGGGAATTGCAGAAGGCTTTGACGACCTCTTGACGATAGGTCTCGAGAAAGATAATGCCCATGGGGGACTTCAAGAAGGTCCTGCGCCCCTCCTCGATGCCATTCTCCCTCTCGCCTAGGCACTCATCGCGGGCCTTTTCGAGGCCGCCCTTAAGCTTGTCATTCAGGTGCCGAGCCATGGCCTTGTGGGCTTTCAGCTTGTCGACAAGGGCTTTCGAGGCCTCCAAGTCTTCTTTTAGCACCTCGATTTCTTGGCGTTGAGCCTCACACTTGTCCTCGAGGGACTTGGTGGAGACGGCGGGAGCCTTACTCCCTTCCTCGAGGCAAGGCAGTGCCGCAGCCAGAAACTGCGAGAGAACATTGAAAATGGATGAGAAAAAAAAAGTAAAACCAAGGAAATATATAATACTAAGTCGACTGAAAGACAGGGAAAGTACCCGAGAGAGGCATTGGATAGCGTAATTTGAACGCTCATAAAGATTCCCCTCGACGCGATCCTTGTTGGCCTCGGGGATGAGGGAGTTGAGATACTTAGCCAGAGCCGGAAGGGCATTTTGACTGTCACATCCTTGATGGTGACTGGAGAAGAGTAAATTTTCTCGATCACCTTTCCTTTTCCCTTACCGACATTGCGGCGCTTCATGTCGTCGGGGATCAGGACGACGGCCCGGTCGTCTTAGGCCCTTTTCCGGGAGCTACAGCCCGACGACTTGTGCTGCTTGGCAGCACTAGGGTTCTTGACCCTAGACTCTTTCGCAGCAGTCATCTCCGCTGCTGCAATGGCGGGCCTCGACCCGGCCCACTCCCGGGTCGAGAAGGAAGAGGAACAGAGCCACCA